TTAATAAATGCCAATTCATACCTACAGATGAGGGCTTCCTTCAAAATAGTCATTCTGACACTTATTCTAACCATGTTACTGTTCTTAAATTATGTCTGAGGTGGCTTTCAGGGTCTGTGAGATAGTCTTTTGAATGTTTTCAATGGTGACTCTTGAGAGTAGATTCAATTTTCAAAAATAATCAAGAGTTCTTCTGGGCCAAGTCTGGTGAACTGATGGATCATTCAAACTGTGTAATGCCAAGAGGATCAACTCAACCCCAGAAGGCCGTTTTCAAAGACAAACCCTAGACACGGAGTAAACATGTTATAGGCATGACATCAAGCTTGGGGTATAGGGGAAGAGGATGGTGACTGCACTGAAGGAAACCCCACTCATTTGGATATGCAAGTTTTCTGGGGTCTCCTCTCTGCAGACTATTTCTCAGGTCCACAGCTACCCTATTTCTTGGTACCACAGTTTCCAGAAGTACAAGAAACAAGACCCCACTGCCTTTAGTCAACTTTTAATCCCCAACTGGGAACTTGATGGAATGAATAGCAGATGGGAAATTAAACACGTGGAAGAATGTCTAAGGTGTCTGGGGCTTCCTCTAAGGGACTCAAAGGGCAAAATTGGGAGGCTCTGGAGACATAATTTTCTGCTCTGTGTAAGGAAGACTGTCAGCAGCTGGAGCTGTCCAGCAATATAGTTTGCTCTGGAAATAGTGAGCTTCTGGAGCTGGGAGGAGTTTAAAGCAAAGGCTGCTTATTATGGTAGCCTGTAGAGATGTCCCTGTAATGGTGGGAGCTATGCAGTGATCTCCAAAAGCTATCCCCAGAGTCCAACCTGCTCAATACTTGGCTCTTGGTGGGCCCTGGAAAAATACCGGTGGAATGGAATGAATGAAGAACATGGTGCATCCTATGAGCCAGGTGGAGGGGAGGAGGCCTGGGGCTCAGTCAGGGAGCCAAGAGCTAGGGCCTCCTTGAGTATTTGGTACCATAGGAGAGAAACTGTTTTCGGTACCCGAAGCCTCACATGGTTATGATAGGATTGGAGGGGACTGAAGTTGGGGGAGGAGAAAGACCACTGCTCACCCTTCTTAAACTCCTCCAGCACGGTGTCCAACCGAGTATCATTGAAGACGCAGTGCAGGGGCCGGTTGTAGAAACGGGTGACGGTGAGGAGCGGGGTGCAGTCGTCGGGGTCCACGAAGGCCAAGTCTTTGACAAATAGAATGTCCACAATGTTGTGCCGCTGGTCGCCCTCGTACACCGGGATGCGAGTGTAGCCGCTGCGCAGGATCTCGGAGACAGTGGCGAAGTCGAGCACCGCGTCCGAACGCAGCATGAAGCAGTCTCCGAGGGGGGTCAGCACCTCCTCCACCACCTTGGTGCGCAGCTCCAGGGCGCCCTGTATAATGTTGAGCTCCTCCTTCACCAGGTCGTTGTAGGGGTCTGCGGCCCGCAGCGTCTCCAGAAGCTTCTCCCGAGTGTAGAAGGTGCTGATCTCCTGGCGCAGCGCCCAGTCCAGCAGGCGGCCCAGCGGGTAACACACGGGAAAGGCGGCCGCCATCAGGAGCCGGGTCAGGCACACGCTGTGTGAGGCGATGGCCAGTCCGTGCCGCGAACACACCGAGTAGGGGCAGATCTCGGCCCCCAGGAACACGGCGCCGGTACACACGAGCGCTGGCAGCCACGGGAAGTGAATCCCCGCCTCGCCATAGTCTTCCCCGGTGCCCCCGACGCCAGGCGGCAGCGAGGCGTACAGCCAGCCGGCTAGGGCCGCGTTGGCTCCGGCTTGGCCCAGGAGCAGAGTGCAGAGCAGATGGGTCCCCCTGCCGCGCACGGCCTGCACGCGGCGTGCCTGCTCCTGCTCG